ATCTTGAACAAGTAAAAATGCATTGAGATCATCGCGCAAAAGTATTGGTGCTGATGGTTGGTGGTGGTGACGCGTTGATAAGAGGCCGGTTGGAGACAATATCAACGCCACCATATAGCCATTGAATCGATGTCGTTGGCTATGACAGCAAGCGACTATGACGTTGACAGCAGCGATCGAGATGATGGTGACGGTGATGGCAGGCAGTAGATAGGCTGTAATGTTTTTAATTTGTAATCGATAATGTTTCGTTGTTGTTGTTGTTGTTGCTATTACTGCTGTTGCTGATGCATCGTGTTTCGTTAAGAGCCATTTAATTCGTTAGATACAAATTTACCGCTATCTTGAAGGAACCTTTTTCATAGAAGAGGAGTTTTTTCTTTATTTGTTGCTGTTGTTGATATGGCGATGTTGATGATTTTTAATCGAGCACGTCTCCTGTGGGTTGTTCACATTTGTTGTTGTAACTAATTTTCCAGCCATTGATGATTGTAATCACGGTTGGTTGGTAGGTTGTTTGGTTTTGCTGGCACAGGTTCATTTTAATATTATATCATAAAACTTGACGTTGTGAGCAGCCAAATTATTTTTTTCGGTCGTTTTTTTTTTCAAAATTGTCAATAAATTGTGTTGGAAGTTTCATGGAAGAAGTTTCAAATACTTTTCAAAAACTTGGTTACTGGGTCATCATTACTCCCAATATACATTGGAGTAATGATGACCTGTTTTGGTGATGAGAGAGGCGGTGTAAGTGAGGACCCATCTTCTTCTCAATTATAATTGGTTTGTGTAAATCTGGACTTTGAGACTAAAAGTTGCAGCTTTTCAGGTGCTTGGTTTGCATGTATGTATTTGCATCTACATCACATAGGTCGGCAAAATAATTTCCTTGAAAATTATCATATTTCCCAGTGAAAATGCTTTGAAAATGCATTTCTGACTGGCTCGGTTCCATAAAAACATTCACATTTGAAATTGTGAAATTAACAACATAGTGTATTGGAATCTTTAAGATTTTATTTTTCAGTCATTCTCTACGATCATTCTAACGTTATTTTGATGTAATTATATTGGCAACATTGTTTTGTATTTAATGACGTTTGGTTTTCGTCTTTGCTTATAGTAAAGACATGCAACTTTATGGACGTTACAAAATACATTTTCATAAAAGAATGGCAGTTTTGACAACCAGGTGGCTCTGGAACCGTACGGATTAATTTTAGAGTATAATTTTATTTTTCGAAGTCTAATTTTATTTTTACTTCACATACGGATTTATATTTTTTCTTTTCGGTGATCAGTAAATGGAGAAAATCATATTTTTTTTGAGATGAATATATGGTGCGACTTTAGCGCCATCTCTCCGTCCGTTTTGACAACGTAAAGTCTTATATTCGTATATTTTGTGTCTCTGCTTTGCATCTTTGCCATTACATGTCTAGACTATCTAAAAAAATCCACTGTACAAACAAAACGTTTTCAATTTTCCACAATCGTTAGAGTTGCCAAAAATACATTTTTCTATAAAAAAATCATGGTTGAAACCACCTGAATAAATTGGTACTCTTGTTATGCCAAATTTTTGTGTATTTATTTTTTTTTTTAAATTAATATCGATAAATATTTTATATATTTTGAATTTCTGTTGAAATTTCAATAAATATTTCTGGGTAATGAATTTGAAAATTTTTGTATGGAACAAAACGTCAACTTATTTTTTTTGCGAATTTCTCTTAAATGAAAAAAAATCTGATTTCAAATCAAAAAAATTTAATATATTATTCAAGTTTCTCCTTTTTGGGAAAGTATAATAGGAACATTTTTACCGTCTGCACCAAAAAGTCTTAAACATCAGAGAGATATTATTAAAATCATTGCACAATGGACCTACATCCAATTTTTCTGTTCGCATCTATTTCAAAGTCTTCATATGTAAAGCCTAGAAATCAACAATGACCTCGATACCAAATTTCAGAATTCCATTTCTATCCCAAAAGCCGTACGTATATAGTACGTATTTCCAAAACGACCTCCTTCTCGCAGCTATAGACACTAAAGGCCTGCACAAGACGAATTATATGAATTATGCTTTTTTCGACACACTGACTTTGTCTACTCAATCATGCGCTATGTATTTGAAAAGCAATGACAACCAACAACATCCCCCATTTTGATTCATGTGTGCCATTGTCTAAGGTTCGATCGTGGCATAGCTTACTCGAATATTTGCATGGTGTTCTCGAAAAATGCAGGGTGTCAACGATGACATCGAACCGTGTCATCGTCAAATTGTGTGTCATTTGTGTACGTGTGCTTAAATTGAGAGAGTGTGTGTGTGTTACTTTCGACGGTGAGGATGTGTTTTTGTGTGTGCTGTAATTTTGAAGTAACAAACACCGCGTAAATATAAAATAGAGTTCAATAACAAAATGTGCATAGACATCAACAAATGAATAGAAAAATTATATATATTATGAACAATTCCAATTTATTGGTGATTATCATAAAATGTTGGTCATAAAAAAGAGGTAAATATTGTTTGCCTATTTTCTATCTACATATAGTGTTCTTTTAAAATTAAAGTTTGTGGGCGGAGATTTGACTCTCATTCAATAACAGAATATGCACAGAATTGAACAATGGAAGTATATAGTGTTGTTACGTGAATTACAGTAGCACTCATTCTCATTTACACCTCAATACCGGAGGCAAACATTTATGAAATTATAATCAAAATAAGAACATTTTTCAGGGGGTTATTGTTTTTTTTTAATAAGGATTAACAATAACCACGAAATGAAAATTTTGTGTAGACCAATTATTCGCCAAGAAATTCTTTATTGCAAAAAAAATATTTTTTCACATATCGGAAAAGCAGGTAGCGATTGCGCTTTGCATTCATCACGTATGTGTCTTTTTCGTTGGCAATTGTTTCATAATTGTTGTTGTTTTTTTGATAGAACATTTTTGCCTGACACACTATTCAACATTCTCTTTTATTGGTCATTACATGTTATGACGATGGGTTTGAGTGTGACCGACATGACGAGACATCGAGCATTTAGTTGGATGTCACGTACTGTTATGTGTTTGATCAAACAGGGCACAACATGACGAGCGTTTTTTCTCCATGGCATAAAGAGAGAAAATTGTCACATTTGCAGCCCTTTAATAGACACCAACAGTGACATTCAAATTTCAGGATTTCAGCTCTATTCCTTCACCCAATACCAAGTTTAGTACCATTTAGTACTTTTCGTACAAATATATCTCAATCCCACATAACCATCAGCAATCTTAATATTAATTTTCAGAATTTTATCTCTATCCCTTTACCCAATACAAAATATAGTACCATTCAGTACTTCTCGTACAATTATAGTACACATTCCCGAAACCACCTCCATATGCCCATGCAACACATGATCAGCGTCCCCAATAACAAATTTCAAGATTTCAAGCACTATATGTTCACCCAATAGCAAATTGTACCAAATATGTATAGTTCTATTTAGTACTTTTCGTGCACTTATACACATTTCCAAAACTACCTCATTATCACAAATCGACAACCAATAGAGACCACATTTCAAAATTCCAACTTAATCCGCTCACCCTAAACCAAAATGTTCCAAATTTAGTACCGTTTAGTACAGTTCGCACACTAAGTACACATTTCCAAAACCACCTGCATATATCAAACTTACTTGTTTCTCATACCAAATTTTAAGTTTTCACCTCTATCCGTTCGCATAATACCAGATGGTACCATTTTAGAAGTTAAGTACCATTTTAGAAATTTTCTTAACCTTTAAGTTCGACTTTGGTGCATCTGTTTTGCACTCCATCAATGACTCTCATTCCAAATTTCAGAATTATAGGTCCTCAACTTTCGCTAGGACAAATCTTAAATAAATCAAAAAAAGTTTTTTTTGAAGGTCCATTTAAATTCGTTATCATTGATATATCTAACAAGTAAAAAAGCTGTAAGTTCGGCCGGGCCGAACTTTGAATACCCTCCACCATTTGGAACGAATTTGGCAATTCTCAAAAACAATAAAATCCGTAAAAAATTCTGTTAAAATCTTAAAAATACCGAATGTAGCTATTATATTAGGGTCTATACAACGTCATGGATCTGCATAGGTAACATTTGGCATAAGCCATTGTAATATTCAAATGCGAAACTTAAAAAAATCGGTAATAATGTAGCTAAAATCATCAGAATATCGAATATCGGGAGGTACCGCTATATGGGGGCTATACGAAGACGTGGACCTGCACAGACAATTTTCTGTTTTAGGCTGTAGTATCCATTACGAACTTCAAATACCAAATTTGAAACCATTCCGGTAAATAATGTCGCTAAAATCATCAAAATACCGAATATCGGGGGTATCGTTATATGGGGGCTATACCAAAACGTGGACCTACATGCCACATTTTCAATACCAAAAGTCCTCCAGACATAACATACATTTGAGTAAAATTTTATCGATTTACTTCAATTCGTTCGCAAGCTAGAGTGATTTCCACAGACGGATATCGCTAAATCGACATAGAATTTTATGCTGATCAAAAATATATATACTTTGTAGGGTCTAAAATGTATATTTCGAGGTGTTACAAACGGAATGACAAACTTAATAAACCCTCCATACAATAGGGGAGGGTATAAAAATAATAATTCTGCCGATTTATATGTCAAGTGTCACTTTCAATTGTAAATATATATCATGTTTTTTTTAACCATTGGACTGGACTGGAAATACATCTAGGAAATAGAGTTTATATTTACTTCAATATATGTAAAAGGTTTCAGATGATTGTGTGCCAACTATTAATATTAAAAAAATACCAGCAACACCCTTATCATGTTTTGGAAATATCTCTTAATTTTGTTTTTCAAAAGACGAGTTTTTCATCTTTGATTGTATATTCCAAATATTCAATTCGCATTTTTTTTTTTAAAAAATACGTTTCCAATTTTTTTTTTTCAGAAAAATACCGATCGCAATCTAACCAATCAATTGGGTCAAATGCAAAGAGCCAGTAAAAATTATGGTGGCGGAGGTGGCAACAGCGGCAGTAGTAACAACAATCACAATCGCTATTCGTGGGGCAGCGGCCATAGCTCGTCATCCCTACATAGCAGTGCTGCCACGCTGGGCATTGGTTCCGGTAAAGATGACCTGTGGGCTGCCATACAGACGAATTACAATTACATCATGGACACGAATCTTTTGGATTCGTGCAAAGAGGCCAGATGTGAAATAGAGGGTGCCACAAGTGGATTAAATAACACAACGGAAACATGTTTGAAGGTGAGTGTTAATAGGTGTGGTGAATAGGCGACTATAAATTCAACAATTGCATATGTTGAGGTTGTTGTCTTAGATGCCAAGGTGAATTTAAATAAGAGTTTAATGCCCAAAAAGTATTGCCTACTTTGAGGCATTGTAATTTCCATTGCCATAAAGTTATGGCAACTGAAAATAATGTATCTGAAATTGCATAGATGGGGCCTCTAAATTAAGTCCAAATTCTTTTGTTTCTAATTTTAACCTTAAATATTTTATTTTGACTTTCTTGTTTCAGATGCTCGAAGAGAGTATTCCTAGTGTTGGTTCTTGTGAAGATCCCAAAGAATTACGCAAATGGCTGCGAGACATGGAACATAAATTGGAAAGTGCCCCGTCTTTGTCCGAGGCTACCATGCTGTCGTGTGCGGAACTGCAAAAACATTTAACTGAACATTCGGTAAGTAGAAAATAAATTTTGGTTTTAATTTAAATTTTAAAAATTACATTCAGACACGAACTTGCTAAAAATTTATAATTTACTCTTTCCAAATTTTTGAATCAAAATTACAATATTAAACTGTTCCATATCGAAAATGTAACAAATGCTAACAATTCAGTAAGATATCCAAATTTTAGAATATATATATGAAAAAATCCAAAATTGACAAATGCATGCCTGTTAGCCAATGTTTTTGTGCGCTCTAAGAGAGATAAGAGTTTATAGAAATATATGGATCTTATAGCGAATTAATTGCCCTGTGGCGTTTTGATCGTATTAAGTACTAACAAATTAGTGACATTAGCTTGGGACGAAAGCGGGGGAGCCGTGGGTTCAGGTTGCACACCAACAGGTTGCCATTTCTCACATTTTTATACCCTCCACCATATATAGTATGGAGGGTATATTAAGGTCGTCATTCCGTTTGCAACTCATGGAGATAATAATTTTAGACCTAACAATGTCTGTACCTCCCGATAATCGGTATTTTGATGATTGTAACCACATTTCATAATGGAATTGTCTGAAATTCCACACAAGGAGTTCCTTCTGAGAGAATTGTCTATTTAGGTCCTCGATATCGTATATCTCCAATATAACGGTACCTCCTGATATTCGGTATTTTCATGATTTCAGCCAAAATTTTCAATGGAATTTTCTTTAAATATACGAAAGGAGTTCTTGTGAGTACATTACCCCCCGAAAGAGAAATGTCTATATAAATCCACGATATCATATATCCCCTATGTAACGGTTCTTCCCGATATTCGGTATTTTGATAATTGAAGCCAAATTTTTCAAATAAATTGTCTGAAATTCTGTACAACGAGTTCCTTCTGAGTACATTACCCCTTGGAAGAGAATTGCGTACATAGTATAGCACCTCGTTTTAGTATAACACCCATATAAGATTACCCCAGGTATTTGATATTTTCATGATTTTTGCGACATTGTTCACCGGAATTGTTTCAGATTTGATATTTAAAGTACGTTCGTTGAAGTACCCAACTTATGACGAAAAATTGTATATGCATCGTATAGCTCCCATATAACAATACCTCCCGATATTCGGTATTTTAATGATTTTCGCGATATTATTAACCGGAATTGTTTCAAATTTCGTATTTAAAGTTCGCAATGGGTGTTACGATCTATGAAGGAAAATTGTCTATGCATGTCCACGGTTTCCATTTGAGCGGTATTTTTTTAAGGAATTGTTTTCAAATTTTTCAATTTTCTTCCAAATGGTGGAGGGTATAAAACTGTTTTTTTACTTATTTGTAAATGCATTAAAATTGCAATTATCAAAGTAAATCTAAAAACCTGAGACACGAGTATTGGCGTTTTGAAAGTTTACGCCCATTTTTTCCATGCATTTTATGTATATAGTGACTTCCGCAGTTGACCCACACTGCCGTACAGGGCCTTGATTCTTGTTCTATGAAAATATGAAATGAAAAATATTTCCCTTATAAAATTTTTCATTTGACATATCTTTCCTCTATAAAAGTTTTCATTTCACATTTTCATAGAACAAGATTTGAGGCCCAGGCCCTTAAAAAAAAAATATGAAATGAAACATATTTCCTTTATAAAATTTTTCGTTTGACATTTCTTTCCTTTTTTCAATTTTCATTTCACATTTTCATAGAATAAGAATTGAGGCCCATGAGAGATATTCAAAATTATTTTTTGATTGTATGTGTTTTGACATTAAAAATATTTCAAGTGTTTCTTTGCCTCTCTCTACACAGTGAGAAATATTTTGTTAGTTTTTTTTTTTAATTTTTATATTTGTTTTCATATTTAATAAAGATACTTCGAGAAGTGGATTTTTTAAAGAATATTTTTTGAAGAGATTTCGAAACGTGAATTTTTTAACAAATATTTTTTGAAAAACCTTCAAGGCGTGGACTTTTTAACGAATATTTTTTGAAAAGCATGGATTTTATAAAAAATATTTTTTGAAGAACCTTCGAGACGTGGATTGTTTTAAGAATATTTTTTGAAGAGCATGGATTTTTTAAAAAATATTTTTTGAAGAACCTTCGAGACGTGGATTTTTCAACAAATATTTTTTTAAAAAATATTTTTTGAAGAACCTTCTAGACGTGGATTTTTTAACAGATTTTTTGAAGGACCTTCGTTTCGTGGATTTTTTAAAGAATATTTTTTGAAGAGCATGGATTTTTTAAAAAACATTTTTTGAAGAACCTTCGTTTCGTGGATTTTTTTAACAGATATTTTTTGAAGGACCTTCGTTTCGTGGATTTGTTTTAAGAATATTTTTTGAACAGCATGGATTTTTTAAAAATATTTTGTGAAGAACCTTCGAGAGAAAATATTTTTTGAAGAGCATGGATTTTTTAAAAAATATTTTTTGTGAACCCTCGTTTCGTGGACTTTTTAAAGAATATTTTTTGAAGAGCATGGATTTTTTAAAAAATATTTCGTGAAGAACCTTCGAGAAAGGATATTTTTTCAAGAGCATGGATTTTTTAAAAAATATTTTTCGAAGGACTTCGAAACGTGGCGTGTTAAAGGATATTGTTTGAAGAGCCTTCGAGACGTGGATTTTTTAAAAAATATTTTTTGAAGAGTCTTCGAAAATTTTTGTTCGTAGATATTCCTATTTTGACTAAAAAATAATCGCTTTTATATTTACACAATTAAATAAACTATAAATAATTTTGGAAGGGAATATATACTACGAATGACGTAAAAAATATTTAAGGTATTGAGATAATGCTTTAAGGAAAAATTATAAATAAGTGGTCCAGAAACGATATTTAGAACCTTTCTCATTCACTATCATAAAATATATATTTTTTGTATGAGCAAATCACACAAATAGTCTATGTCCATCTTTGTCACACCTTTTTCTCAAATCAAAATTATATTTATGTACCCCAATATTTCTAATGGTGTATTCAAAAAATAGCCGTCAGCACCTTCCTTATCGACTGCTCGAATAAAACTAAATATTCCACCAAAACCATTTTGACAGAAAATTGAAAACAATTTATTTTTTACAATTGTGTTGGTAAACACACAGACGTCCCATGGGATACTCTTTGCCTACCCCTGTACTACACATCAAACTATTCTACAAAATTGTTTGTCATAAAATTTTACTAAGAGTTTCAGAACACACCTAAACTCCTAAAAAAATTAAAAAAATATATATAAAAAACTCTCAGAAAAAATATATTCCATTAATATACTGTACTTTTTACACATTTGGATTTTGCGACAGAAAAAAATTGCTAAATCATTGATTATTAACAAACATATTCCACGCAAGTTATTTTTTATATTTAATTCATGGATAATTATCGATTTTTTTGCAAACAAATTTGGGTTAATTCACAGCATCTAAATACAATTTATAACGACTCACATTTATGTAATGTTAGTTTAGAAATTTTATATTAATTAAAAAATCCAATTAAAATACTTGGAAATTTGACATGTATTTATACATCTTTTAGATTTCACGCTGTCGTCGAAGTGATTAATTACCACATTAACTCGGTTAAATTTTTCACATTTTTTAGTTTTGGCTTCATCCAATATGTTTTTTTGTGGCTGAAAGTCACTTTCCTTTAGTTCTAAAATTTAAACTATATTCCTTCTCTCCAACTGAAATTGAACCACCCCGAAGAACATAAACCACCAAAGTGTTGTTGGTCCAGCCAGGTGTTGTCTGCTTCATATTATCGCCCATTTTCAGTGCGAATGAGTGCGAAAGTAAAACGTTCATCATTGCTTTGCTTTCTTTGCAAGATTTTCATTATCATCTGTTCAACTTCAACTTCAGTTTCCCCAGTTTTCAAGAGTCAAAACTTTATCGCAGATTGCATGTCATACAGTTGAGAATTTTCACCGTTGTTTAAGAAAAGAAAACTGACACAGAGACACACACTTGCCTCTTGGATGTGCACAATTTAGATCACTAAGTCAAAAGAACAAAGGCGGCAGCGGCTGCGGCAGAAACATAAAGAAAACAATTAACTTCAAAGTTGAAAATGAAGAAAACAAAAAATGAGAACAACAAAAATGTTTGGAAAATTTTTTAAGATAAGATTCGTTCGCCGGCATGAAAGTGAGTTCGGAATATGAGATTTGCACTGAAATACGATTTTCTTAAGGAAAGTAAGTTTTGGGTGAAATTGTTCTAAAATTAAAAAAACAACCATCTGAGCAATTTCTAAAGCCAATTTTTTTCAGAACAGTGTTGGCTTGTTTGTTCGGGATACCATAGTATTTTGTTGTTGCAAAATGGTCAGACTTAATCCCTTTATTGTTGTTTTTATAAAAACAACGTTTGTTTATTAGTGGAGAACGATGGTAATATTTACCAGGGGGTGAGGCAGGGAATACCTAGGTTTCGGAAAGAGCCACCAATCCTCATCATTTCCCTTGTTTTTTGTCTGATATATTCTCCCCAGAAGTTATTTTAAAAATAACTTCTATGACAAAAAAACATTTTTTACCCAAGTGATGAGATCGTAAGCTCAACAAGCAATTTTTTTCTGTAAGAAGAAGGGCTTTTTCTTCATCATGTGTGGAAAATTAAAAACAATAGAAAAATCAAGAGGATTGTATATAAACAGGCCTTAATACCGGTACCGTTATATGGCGGCTACACCAAAGCTATACCATTCCTAAATACAATACAAATTGTTCGGCCAAATTTTGAAGCACTACCTCAAATAATGTGGAGTGTATCGTGATTTCAACATACAGACGGACATTATTAAATCGACTTGGAATTTTATGCTGATTATGAAAATATACAGGGTGAGATAAAAAAACAGCAACAAAGTTAAACGCCATAATTTTGACATTTTTTTTTTAATTTCATTGAATGAAAGCAAAAAATGTCGGAAATATCATCAAATTTTAGAATAAGTTTAGATTTGTTCGAATTGGTCACCTTTGGCACGAATTATGGC